TACTAAGTATTTAATTTAGTTTTGTCATTTTTATAAGCTTTGATATAGTTTATCTTTTTCTAAATTTCACAGATTTTTTATAAGATTTTAATATAATTTAACTAAGTTTTACCTTTACTATTTAAACATCTATCTAAACTCTGAATTTCATCTAGCAATCTTAGTTGTAACATATGTTGTAACTAATTTTAACTTATATTGTAACAAGTTATAAATTTGAAATTAATTACTGCATTATCTTTAATCTAATTAATTAACAAAATTAATTACAGTTCTTATCAAAAGTATTAACAATCAATTTTTTAATTTAATATATACAATTTATTAATAAATCTAATTAAAAATTTTTTAAAGAATTCTATTAATGCAATTATCTATTATATTATTATTAAAATTACATATAATATTTGAATAGATTAATGTAAATTCTTTAAAAAAGATGAAAACTTGTAAATATTACATTATTTGATAAAATCCTTATAAATCAATAATTGATTTCCATATTTTTCTTATTTTTTTTTAAAATATTACCTTTTCTTTATTTCTTTCTTTAAATATAATAGGAATGACCTATCTTGATAATAATAAGCTTTACTTTTGTTATTATTCTGTACTATACAAATATTTTATATTAAATTAAAATATTTAGTGTTAATTAATCTGAATATACTTAAACTATTTCAATATACTATTTGATATCCTAAGATTTAAGGTATATTTATATAAAATAATTATATAAATTATTCAAAAACAGTATTTTTGAACTTAATAGACTATGTGATTTAATAATGAAGAATATAATAATAGTTATGATAATACATCTTAAAATTGTAATTGTGTAAAAAAAAGTTGTTCAAAATGGATTTTTATGAAAAAGAAGAAGATTATAAAAGATTTCAATTGATATATATTTTTTTTTTATACAACAATATTTCTAATTTTTATCTCAATTTTTCTTTTAAAATAGCCCAAATATTTTTATTCAGATTAAAACTGGGCGATAAGATAAAAGAACTTGATCCTGAAAGTGAATTTTCAAATCTATTTAAACATCATGAAATTTTGTATTTTAGGTGCTGAAAATCTAATGATAACCTAATAATTTATTTAGAGTCGATCATTAAAAATTCAGTAATATAAATAATAATCAAAATTTTTAGTAAACATATGCATGCTGAATCAGTGAAACAACTATCTATTAAGAATTTTTAAACTCAGTTATGTAGTAATGCTTCTGCATAAAATTTTTCTTTTGACCCAAAAGCGAAAGACATTGCTTGTCTTAGACACAGATCATTTGCAATATGATTGATTTTTTTGACTAAACAATGATCCAAATGTTTCGTAAACTAATTCTTACATGGTCCAATAAAGCCAGAACATCTCTTTAAAGTGCATGTAAGGATAATATTTCTGAATTGTTTTCTTCTAATATAACCCTTCAATTTTTCTGCTAATGATCATTCTAACGTGCCGAAATTTCGCAAGGGTTAATTTTTGTAGACGACCAGATTAATGAATTTCTGAAATATTGCCATTTTTTCATAAAATGGCAACATATCTTTCACAAGAACGCAAAGGAACTCCAGTTCAGCTAGAAATTTCCTTTGCATCCCAAAGATATTTTATACTTTGTGATTTGCTTTAATAAATGTTGATGGCAAGTAATTTAAGTTAAAATAAACAAATATTGTTTTATAAAGTTTTATACTTAAAAATTAAAAGTTTAATGCCAATTTTACCGATTTTTGATTTCAAAACTGGAATTGAAAATTGTTTTTAGTAGCTGATTAATCGTTATAAAAAATCAATTCGACTTTCGACTTTTATTTTTGAAATGATTCCAATCCCTACGCCAGTGTTGTACATTTTTTATGTCCAAAGCATTTTAAGAATGTCCCGTGACAACATTGCCCTACGCCCAAATAATCATCATAAAGTCAATAAAAAAAATAATGCTATCATGTCAATAAAACTTTTTTTATTTGAAAAGATGTCTGAAATATATGTATTTAAAAACTTCCCATTTTTGATCATTTTTTTGCGTATATTTCTATTAGAAACAATACGTCAATGAATGTGATGCTAAGCACGTTTATCCGATGCTATGAGAATGATAGTAAACTTACCGTGAATTTATGTATTAGTTCTTGCAATAAATCAATTAATGAGACCTTATATTATATTAAAATAAACAAACTATTTATCTTTATTAAAAATTAGTTTATGGGTGTTATTCTCGTGTTGAAGAATTTTTATTTCGTTAATAAAAAATTAATTCATGGTTATAAAAGTCGGAATATAAGAATGACTGTAAAGTTTGAAAGTAGTTCGTTAAAAAAAAATTGAATTATATATTTTTGATTTTATTTTTTACATGCGACAAAGGTATTGTACCATGAATTTTTTTGTTAAAAAAATAATGTTTTTTAAAATTCTGAAAATTAAAATTCGATGTATTATATTATATTATTATGCTAATTAAATTTGCATATTGACTAACGATATTTTGCTATTACAAAAAGATATGTATCATTATGGTATCAATTTTAGTACCAATTCGTGACCATTGCAAATTATTCGGTAAAATAGTTTTTTGGTCTGCCTTAAATGGGTTATAATATTGAATGCGTTGAAGTAAACGTTCTGCAAGGATATAATAACATCATTATAATTATTATAATTTTTACAAGCCAAAAAGTACTTTTAATAATATTGCTGTTTCTTGCAACCTTGTCACCATTTTCTCCTGGGTTTAGTGAATGGCATTAAAATACTTTCAGACATGGTAGTATGGTCCAATGCCACACTTTTACATGTGACTCCGTCATGCTTTGCCAAAAGAAATGTGTTATATATGTGAATACAAAAAAAAATTGCCTTAAGTCAAATCCAATTATTGATATATTGCTATTATGCTTCTTAATCAAATACATGGATAATGGTTGTTTCATGCATGAAAATGCTGTCATTTAGTATTATTAACGACCCCTCATAACATTTCAAGCAATGTTTCTATTATTATTTTTGCTTAAAAGGCGTTTCGCAAGAGATAATTAATCTTTTTTTTAATAAAAATATATTTGTTGCTTTATACAAGGATTTCATTTCTATAAGCTACATAAACAACTATACTCTTTCTACCACCTGACTCAAACTTCAGTATAACCTGCTCATTTGTGGCGCAGTTCAAAAAAAAACATTTTTTATTAAAATGAATCTAGATAGGATCTGTAAAATTTGGTTGATCCTTATTATTCGAATTTAAAAGTCGGTATCAGATCTTGTATCGTTTTATCCCGTAGTGTGTCCATACTTGGCGCAATATGGTCTATCAAAGTGTATTTTTTTGCTCGAAAACGCAATTTTGAATTAATAATAAAAAACCCCTGATTTACGAAAACGGATTCGTAGATCCATCGATGAAAGAATATTTGCTAATCGATGTAAATCATCGGGGTAGCAATAAGGTTTTTATCCCCATAAAAATCAGATAAAATATTATTTAATAAAACCAAATAAAGCTATTTGACTAACAAGAAATTATTTAAAAATAATATATAATAATACAGTATATACAGTATATTAATTATTCTATGTAAAACTTTGTAATGTTTTTTTCAAAATACAAAAAAAATTATTTTAATTAAAATGTGATATAAATTACTTCTTTTAATTCTAAAAACTAATTCTAAATCAAAATAAAACTTTTTATTATTTTAATTTTTTAACATTAAAAATTAAAGTAATATTTTTTTTTAATAATATATAATTATAAGTGGTCAAAGATTATTTGAACTTAATATATATAAATTAACCATTTATTTATAACAAAATATTAATAAATTATAATTTTTTAAGAATAAATAAATAATGAATTATTACATAATATCTTACTATCTTTTAATATTAGTAATTTGAAAAATACTGTTTAATGAGAAGGATCCATTATATTTTTCTGCAGTTAATAATCTTTTAGATTTAAAATAATTTAAACTAATATAATTTTTGATTAATATCATTATATGTGACTTAATTAGACGAATCTAATAAGCTAAAAAGATCTTAATTTTTTATGATTTTTAATGAATAATTCTATATTAACCATTGAAGGGATAAGAATTTATAAAAATATATATAAATTTAAAATTTTTAATACGTTTTTGACAAAAAGTTTTTAGAAGCAAGTTATTTTAGGATGATTGGTTCTAATTGTTTCACGTTAAAAAAATAAGTGATTTAAGTAATAGCGAACAAATCTTTTTCTAAATTATAGAGCAAATAAATTCGTTAATTTTCTTATTACAGCTGGGGCCTATAATATTTATAATTTGGTCATATTGTATAGAATATCAAGCGTGGGAAATTTGCAAATTATTTATTTAAATGATAAGTTTGCAAAAGTTCGATAATCACAAAAATTTCATCATAATCGTCACAAATAACCCCTCAATTAAAGGTAACACAAATGAAAATTGTCGGATGATATGCACATACATTATAATCAAGTGGGAAGATATTTTCAAAGAATTCTTTTTTTAAACCAGATTTGTTGCTAAATGCTTTTCACTCCACATTTCCCCCGACTAAAACAAGAACGCGTTCCGGATATGCCTAAAAGAGTTTACCCAAATTTTAGGTCATAATTACTGAATCTTCTGATAAATGATCCTTATGACTCTAAACAAATATGGCTTAAAAATGATAAGATATGCCTAATTTAGATTTTCACCAATGCCTCAATGATAATATTTACGCAAAAATTGGCTAAAACCTGTATTACTGTTTTCCCGCAAAATGCAAATTTATCAAAATTCTCTTGCATAATCTTATCTCTGTCGTACAGACGAAACTGATTTCTTTTGTACTAAACTAAATTCATCTTCACTTTCTCCTGTGCAAACGTGATTGAAAATTGTTAAATAAATACGCCAATTTTCTCTTCTTTTTTTTTTTTTTAAAACGAAAAAAAAAACCAAAAAACAAAAATTATTTGAAAAATGTTGGCCGAAAATACATCATCAAACTCAACAACTCCCCGCAGCTCAATATACAGCCTTCGCAGGATATCTCTTCCAAATTCAAGAGTTTGTATTCATCCTTACTTCGCTTCAAGAGAAGAAGCCGGTAAAACTTTAGCCCAACTAATAAAATATTATGCCCATAATCCTAACACTGGTATGTTATGCAAAAAAAATTTTTCTATAAATAAAATATTAAAAGAAAGAAATTAAACAATTTTTCTCTTCAGTTGTCCTCTCTATCAAACCAACTGCCACAGCATTAGCTTATGAGATTGCAAAAGAATTAGATCTACCTTTGGATATATTTCTCATCCGTTCCTTCAAATACAATGGTTTGACCGTTGGTGCCATCACCGATAGAACTGATCAGCCATTGTTAAAAGATCATGTAATCAGGTAAAAAATTAATGTGGTGGTGATTTATTTTTATAACCAGCAAGTATTAAATGTAAAATTAACTGTTATGTTAATAGAGGTTGCGATATTCCTAAAGATATAATTGATGAACTAGTCGCTAAAGAGGTGAATATTCGACGCAATATTCTGCGCCACACCCATTTTGTTTGCTGTTGGGACCCCCCCTATAATTAATAAAAAAAATTTTTCTTTCTCCAAAATATTAAAATTAGCGCAATTTACTTGAGTCTCAAAAAAAAGAATTGTGTCCGCCAAATTTGGCTTTACCTTGTTCTGAAAATTCTACATTAATTTTATGCACCGATGGTATTCAATCTGGACAGGACGCTCGTAATACTATTACCATACTGAAAAATTTCCTGGGTTTTCGCGGTAAAATTGTTTTAGCTGGTGGCGTTATGGGATCGGACGCTCAGGTATTTACATTAAAAATTGCCGCCATTACTTTAGTCAAAGTTACAAATGATTAATTTTTTTTTTAAATAAATAGAAAATGTTTATGAGAGAAGCCTACGATGTTGTTGCTGTTAAGTGTCCACAAATTGTTGGTTCAGTTGGTATATATAATCTAAATATTTTTATTTTTATTTTAAAAGTTGATTTGCGTTGCATTTTGTAACTTATTCTTTTTTTTTTTTCCTTTTAGATTCATGGTATGAAGGCAACGACAAATTAACTGACGCGGAAATAAGACAAATCTTATCACAAGCAAATAATTTGCTAAATTATAAATAATATAAAGTTTAATCTTAACTATTTTTTTTTTATTATTATTTTGTATATAATTTTGGGAAGTATTAAATTTACATATTTTGTTTCCCAATTTTTGTCAAATTACTTTTTTGTTTTATATATATTTTTTTTCATTTTATAATAAATTTTTTTTAAAAAAAAAATTAATTACTGGTTTTATACATATTGTATATAAAACTTCTATTTTATAGAAGAATGTAAATAACAATTCTATGGCGTTTTCGTGTTTCAAAAACTAATATGTAAGCATAGTGAGTACTGTGACTGTTAAAGAACGTAAGCTCTTTTATAAAAGTTTTAAGTGTATTTTTTTGTCTCACCGGAACTCTTAAAAGTCGCATCTTGTGATGCGCAGTGTTAAAGAACTTATTTTTATCATATTACTTTGGCATATAAAACAACCATGCAGCACTTAAAAAAATATGCCTAAAAACATTATTTTAAAGTTATAAATATTGATGGTTTATTTATTTATGTTGAAAAATGGCTAGGATTTTATATTTCGCTCGAAGGGATATCTTCCTCATTATATTGCAACTAAAAAAAATATTTTTCAATCAAACCGTTGTAAGAATTAAGCAATATAAAATACCTTAATAATAGAATAATTACGTCATTATTATTTATATTGTGCACGTGATACACTATACATACACAAATAAATTGATCTGCATGAATTCAATCGAAATTTTTTGTTTTCCTTCCGAGTCCATATTCTACACTTTAATGTAAAATTTATTTGAGAGATTAAGTATGATTTGTATATGTTCTTTTCCAAACCTGAAGTTCCCCCGGCATGTAAAACCTGAGGGGATTCGTCTGCCTCCGGTTTTGAAGGCGAAACGGATGCATATCAACTTTCGAAGGATATGTAATGTTTTGGTTTTTGTATCCAGCGATTCCCCGTCCTATAAAACCTGAGGGATTCGTCTCCCTTTGGTATGGAAGGCGAAACGGCTAATATGCAACATATTATTTATCAGATCTGTGTATGAAAATGTCTTCGACTTTCATTTAGCGACCTTATATTATCTGGAGAAAGTTTCGGGTTGGGTTAGACTTGTAAAAGCACAAACGATATTTAAAAACTCTTACTAATAATACCTTTTATATTATTTCCATTTCTAGGATTGACATCATGGTTTATATCATTACATAACATTAGTAATTATAAATCACGTTCACAATGTTAACATATTTCATTTTATAATATAACTTATGTGCAGGATTACGTCGAAGTTCTAAAGAAATTTTATCAACAGATTTTAAAGTTACTAAATTTTTCAAAAAGACTGAATTTTCATATATTCAAAAAGAACAGGCAGAGGAATTCCTATACAACGCATTAAGAGCCATTGTATTTGAGAACAGTGAACAAGCCATAAATAACAGCTCAAAAATTGCTCGTCAATTTTAACGAGCTTGTCAATTCTGCCACTACACTATACTTTTGGAATGATCTCCGAATTTGAGAAGAGAAACTTAATACTCAACTCATACTGCACAAGTTATATTACAAGAAAAGAAGTAACTAATCTACATCTAAATAAGTTTAGTAAAGTTATTATTAATAATTTATTTTTGCAACCCATCTGGAAACAAAATGCAAGGTCTAATGTGATATGAAAATATCCAAAAATTGGGAAGAAAAAGGAATTTCAACACCACCAACAAAGGTCAGTATATATTTAATTTAGCAAAAAAAAATTCTGTTAAATCTTTTAAATCTCTGATATGTATGCATAAACTAGTCATTAATGTGAAGACTTCTAAATGAAGAGGTAAGATTCATCACCTTACAATGAAGATCATCATCAGATTCTGATATTGTGACATCCATTTTACTTATGAATTAACACAGTATCTCCCCAAAGATTTCCATCTAAACGTGACTGATGACATTTAAAGGAAAGAAACAAAAATTTTTTAGCAATAAAAAATTGTTTCCATAATAAAATGAAATCAGGGAGGCATAATATGGGTGACAAATTATGCATAATGAAAAATCTTAGGGTGATATTAGGTAAGATATATTATTGATTTAAGCCTTATATTTGGTATCAGAAAAGGATAAAAGCAAAAATCAACCAGAAGATATACTAAATGTCAAATTAGCAAATGAAATCTTAAAATCATATTAGATATAAGTCATATCAGGTAAAAAGTTAATGTGTAATTATGTCAATATTTTGAGATGATGTTATCAGCATTCAATATCAGTTTCATAACATTTTTATCTCTTGATTTCAAACAGTTTATAGCAGATCAAATTAAGATTGTGAAAGCTATATCTATCTATTTTACTACTGTCAATTAATTTATTAATAAGTTTATAATGGATTATAAGAAGGAGGTATTAATATTTTTGGATAAGTTTTAAGCTATATGAAATTTAGCATCTTTGACAAGATATTTAAACGAAAATCCAATTGATATGTTTATTGTATCTAATAATCTTAGACTTTTTTTGATCATTTCTATTTCTTATTCAAGAATGATATCCTATTTCAATCAGCATAATAGACATCTTGATTTTATCGCATATTGTGATGATCATTTGCCAATTATTTATTTATTTTATCACATAAAAAATATTGTAAATAATGTTAATTTTTAATTTTTTTAACTTTAATTAGAAATTCTTATATAATATTAAATTTCAGTTATATTATGATTGCTCAAAAGCTAATTTTTCAAATATATTTTTTCCCAAAGTCAAATTTTTCAAACGCTAATTTCCCAAATTGGACCTTTTACCAAAATATCTAATTATCTAAATACTAATTTTTTGAAACCCAATTTTTTGAATTGCATGAAACATATATTTTCCTGAACATCCAATTTTCTGAATTCTGATATTCTGAATGTCACAGTAAACTGAATTCCAATATCCCAAATGTTCATATTTTTAAATTCCTATATTTTAAATGGTTTTGAATATTACTCGAATATGTAATCATCTATATCTAAAATTTTATTGTAATCTATTATCAAAGAGAGCTATCTTATATAATTTGCTCTATTGCTATAAATATCAGAAAAATTGCCTATTTAGGTTATAGAGATTCAGAAAATTGTCCATTTGAGATATTGAAATTCAGAATATTGGGTGTTCAGAATGTCAAAATTTAGGATTTAAAAAATTAGAATTTGGGAAATATTTATTTAGAAAATTGGATTTCAGGATATTGGCATTCAGAAATTCAAATTTTTCGGTAAAATGTCAATTCAGAAAATTAGCGTTCAGAAAATTTGACTTTAAAAAAAAATATATTCAAAAAATTAGCATTCGAAAACTTGTCTAATAAGGTTAAATTTCATATAGCTTTATTTTATTATAATAATATTATAAAATTAAAAAATGAAATATTTTATAAAATAATAATAATATTATTGTGTGATTTTATGATGTCAATATTATATTATAAAGAAAGTTTATTTGTATAATTTTTTTTTAAATTACCATTCTCTTACTAGATATTTTTTATTTAATTTATTTAATTTACATTTTTTTCTTTTCATTTTTACCAATTATTTTTTTTGAAAAAAATGAAACCATCTTTTAAGATTATAAAAAAAATAAATTTTTGTTTTTATTTTTTATAAGCTTAATGATAATGACCTCTATTTTTAAACGAGTTTTACTTATGAAAAACCTACAAAAGAGGATCTTAACAAACTTATTAATAATAGTTATAATAAAAATACTGATTATTTAACATCAATATAGGTTTGTACATTAGAAAAGTTTTGATTAGATGTAAAATATCAAGGTCTAATTAAAGAAATAACTACAAAAAAAGTGTTAAAAAATACAATTTGAAGATTTATTGAACTGAAACTTATAAAAAAAATTAAATGTATTATTAAAATTAAAAAATATAATAAAAAACATTATTTTCAAAATGTTTTATAGTCTAATTCTAAAAAAAACTATAATAATATATTTTTTTAAAAAAATTTTTTGGATATATATCTTTAAAATTTGATTTATTTACATCTTAAACCTAAAAGAGAAAAATAAAGTTATTAAGCATTCATTAAAAATTTTGAAATATTACTTATAAAAATCAATAAAAATCTATAAAAAAGAAAATAAAACATTAATAAACATTTTACTGAAGATTAAAAAACAAAATATTTCAAAAGACTCATTTTCAAAATAGCAATTCTGAGATTTATAAAAAAAGAAATAAATATATTTTACTAAAAACAAAAAATTTTGCTAAATATTATTAGTATAAAATTCTAAAGAATATTATAATATTCTAAAAGTTTTATTTTTAAAGTAGCAAACTCTATAAAAAAAAAAAGAATAAAATATATTGTTAACATGTGATTTTGATGGATCATTATAATTAAACAGGATGTTTGAGTAGTGACTTTTTTAGTTTATATAATAATTTTACTAATTTTACTAAGATTTATTAAGACTGATATAGTTTTTATGAAGATTTATAAAGGTGGTTGATATATTACTAAGACTCACAAAAGCTATATTCTACTAAGATTTATAGTTTGTTATAAGAATTCATATAGTACAGCTCGAGCATCCTAGTCGCATCAAGTCTTAAACCCTATTTTAAAATAGCCATATAATTCAAAAAAGAAAATATTATTTAAAAGTCTTATCATATTTTAATAGATTAAATCAAGGGCTACAAAAGTATGATTTAATTTTTCAAATTGGGCTAATATATAAAAAGTTATATGCATTTTATTTTAGCAAAAAATTATATATATATATATAAAATATTCTCAATTTAGCCACTAAATTTTTGGTTAAAAATTTAATTTTAATGCTTTTTAATGTCAAAATTTTCATTGAAAGATGCGATAAAATTATCAATAGATTAATATAATTATAACGTATATGCAATTACATGCAATTTGCTTTTCATGTTTCATTTGAAAAATAAAGTTTGATGGCCGGCATTTCAAAAAGAAAAAACACATAAAAAACTTGCTGAGAAAAAACGAAATAATAAGCATGTTCAGGTAGCTATTAATGTGGAAGATAATGAGGAAAGTTTGCAGAAAAATCTTCGTAATATGAAGAGTGATGATGAAATTATATGGGGAGATGATGATTTGGATCGTAATCAAGAAGATTTAATTCAAAATTTAATAACTCAAATGCAGAATTATGTCCCACCAGCCCACAAATCAACTTATACAGGAAATTCTGCAAGAACTAAACGTAGACATCATGCTCAAGTGAAAAGGGATGCTGAAAAAAATGGTTAGACAATTGATTATTTTTTTCTCACTAAAAAATTTAATGAAAATAATAAAATAAGTGAAGAATCCAAAGATGATTATGATTTAATTTATAATTCCCAACAAACAATCAACTCTCTTAAAGCACAACTAAAAGAAAAAAATTTAAATGAAGGTTATGAATTAAGATTAACTGCTATATTGCAATATATGCGGCTTCTTGAATTTCAAAATTCTAACTAAAACCAGTCTTAGTGTTGCACAACAACTTAAAAAAGGACTATGGTTTGCCCGATGTCTTCGTTTATGGAGCCGCATGCTGCAAAATGGAGAGACTATTCCATTTTCTAAGGAGAAAAACATTGTAAAGTAAAAGGCTTACTTGATGATGAAGATATTCAAATGCAAGTTGTCTCTTTCTTGCGAGAAAAAAAACTTGAATTTTAAGTTGCTGATTTTGTGGATTATGTTACAAATACCATTTTTCCATTACTTGGAATTGAAATAAAAACAACAATTAGGTAATTAGTTTCTCAATAATTTACTTTTAATTATTAAATAAATATCTATTATTTATAATTATCGTTATTAGCAAAACTACTGCAAGAAATTGGCTTAAGAAAATGGGTTATCATTATAAAAAATACCAAAAGGGAGTTTATGTGGATGGTCATAAGCGTGAAGATGTAGTGGAATATCGGAAAACTTTTTTAAAAGAAATGGAAATGTAAGTATCACCAATCATGCAATGTTAATCAAGCTATAAAATACGCCCATTTATGCTTTTTTTTATAATGCAGTTATCAAAAATTAATGCCAATTTTTGAGGGTGATAAAATGGAAATTCAAATTAATCACGAATTGCAACCAGATGAAAAAATTCACATATTGATTACCCATAATAAAACCACATTTCATTCTAATGATAGGAGAAATTCTGGATGGGTTCCTAATTATGAACAGCCTTTGCGAAAGAAAGAACAAGGACGTGCTATTCATATAAGTGATTTTATTTGTGAAACAATTAGTCGATTACAATTAAATGAGGAACAAAAACTTTCTGAAATCAGAAATAGAATTCCACATAAAACCCGAATTATGATAAATCCTAAAAAGAATTATGATAGTTAGTGGACTGTTGAACAATTAGTTGAACAGGTATTAAATTGATTGCTAATCATTATTAATTTTTTTAATTAATTTTAATAAATATATATTTTTTTATTAAAGATACTTCAATGTGCAATTCTTATATTTGAAGCAACTCATTCAAATGCAATCGGTATTTTTGCATTTGATAATTCCACATCACATAGTACTTTTATACCTGATGCATTAGTTGCATCACGTATGAATGTGAACCCTGGTGGAAAGCAACCCTGAATGAGAAATACAGAATTTAATGGACAAGTTCAAAATATGAGTTTTTCCAATAATTATTTTGATCAAACACTCTGGGAAAAACCAAAGGGTATGAAACAAGTTTTAGAAGAACGTCAGTTAATGAAACCAGGTTTGATAGGATATTGCCGTAATAATGAATCCAAAAATATTCAATGCTGTATGCGGCATATTCTTGAAAATCAACCTGATTTTCTTGCTCAAAATGAAATAATTCAAGAAGTTATTGAAGAGAACGAGGTTATAAAGTGATTTTTTATCCAAAATTTCATCCTAAATTAAATTTCATTGAAATGTATTGGGAAGCATCCAAGAAATATTCTCATAAACATTGTAACTATACTTGGACTGGATTGCAACAGGTTGTGTTAATTGCTTTAAATCAAGTTCCATTATCTCATATTAGGACATTTGCAAGAAAATCATATAGATATATGGATGCATATCGAAAAGGATTAGATGCAAAGCAAGCAGAATATGCAGTTAAACATTATAAGAGACATAGGGTGATACCTAATACATTGTTTTATGATATGTAAATAAAATTTTTAATAAAAAATATTCGTAATATTTGTATATATGGCACAGTAAATTCATGTTTTAATTCTGGTTAGAATTATGTTAATTCTATAATTCGGGCTAAGATCACGTGAATAACCGCTTGAGGAAATTTGGCTGCTATATTTGAGATTTGATGCGACTCAGGTGCTCGAGCTGTACTATTGAAATTTTATATCTTAATAATATTATATAGAAAACTGGGGTGGCTTAATAAGCGCTTGGTCAAATTGTTTTATGAAAGTCATGCAAACACACATTCCAGATATATTGAAGACATAAAAAATAAATTTATTATTTCTAATTATCTACAATTTTCAAAACTTCGTTTCTGAAAAGATCAATGAAAGTATTTAGTTAACGTGTAGGATTTTCCTATATTTTGATCTAAAATATCTTTACGTTTCTATATCTGCCGAAGGTTTTAGCCAAATTTGAAAATTAGATTAAAACTGTATTGGAACGAAATTAAATGTGAAAAAGAGAATATGAATTAATCCTTATTTATTAATTGCTTAATTTTTTACTAATTAAAAAATTCAATTGATTGTTATTTTAGTTATTTTTATTTTTGTTATTTTTTTTTATTTTATGTAAAATTTATACATTATTTCAAATTCCTTAGTAATTCTGTATATAAGTAATTTAACATAAGAAATAAACAGATTATACAAACCAAAAAAAATTTTTCTTGTACTTTGAATGTGCAGATACTAAATTAAGCTTGAGTATTACATTTGTGTTGATTCTAAGTTTTTTTTTATTTTGATCATATCAATCCATAAACAAAATTTATTAGTGAAATAAGCGTGATTAGTCAACTCATTGAATTTTAATTGGCGACAGTTTTGTTAGACACAATTTTACTAATACAAATAATTTTCAATGAATTCTTAACGATAAGATATTTTCAATTGAAAAAACTTTTCTCTCTATTGATGCAAGAGATTTGTTTTTCTCATGTTCACTTCTGAAACATAAAATTTTCTCACAAACATGCTGTAGATTCAAGATTCTTTAAATATCTTATATTTTCAGAATCTAAAATTTTAAAACTTTAATAAAAGATAATAACGACAACTCTCACCAATTTAAAAACGTTCGTCAAAGAAAAAAATTACAAAGAAGAATAAGACATCATAAAAAAAGTATACCTATTCTAGTAGATATCTAATTTACTTTGTAGTAATATGTAATTCCAATGTTTATGAGTGACACGTTTACCTCCTAATATGTATTTTCATGTAATATGAGTGGCATATTATGGTACTGACGTGTATTTTCACTTTGGTTTTGCATATTAACAGTAATTCAGATAGCTGTAGGCATACTTAATTTTTATAACTAACTAGTTTGCTATCAAATCATCTATCCACTCAAACTTTTTAGGTTTCAAAATTGAGTTAATTTTGAATTTGAGAAAATATTAGAGAAAATTGATAATCTTTCAGCTAATTATCCTTCTTATATCCAATTGAAGATTATTTAATTTCTTGTTTAATAATCATCATCAGATAAAAGATATTAATAATCCTTTGTTTTCTCATGTTGTTTAAAATTTTCTCATACTATTTTATTTGAATATAAAAATACCTTTTCAAATTTCTTCTTTTTCTCAAAGAAAATTTTTCCACTACCAAAATTATTGCTATTTCCCTTTTATAAGTTTTTGTTTCTCTTTAATGAAATACATTTTTATCCATTGAAAATTTAAGGAATAATACTTAAAGTTACCGTGACATTTTAAGTTTATTAAAATATAGAGGAGACACCACACATTCGATATTTTCTGAGAACTGAAGAACTAGAAATTGAATGAAGTCAATATAAGCGCTATATTAATATAGATATTTATCTCATTATTTTCTTTTCAGCAAAATAGCTCATATTCATTATGGTTAAAGTAAACAACAAAAAATCTCCCCCACTTGACGTAAAGCTTTAATTTTTCAAAGAGAACATAATAGCCAAAGAGTTTTTGAAAGTGAAACGAATAGACTTAAAAATGGTCCTATACTGGGTGACTAGGTATATAAAACTCATCTCAGTATAGGCTTTGTCTGAGCTTAATGAAATATGCAACCCATCAATTTTCTAAAGAAGTGTGACCTCACTTAGTTTAACTGTAATATACTAACACTTTTGCTTCTTTTCTTACATCATACTGTAGATTCTTGTAATATAAGTCTTTACTTGCTTAAAACTGGTTATCATACCTCTGTTAGCCTGTATCGATATGTAGCCTTTAGAATATCATTGTTATTATCAAGCTAACCTTTTAGTGAACTGGTATACGTTGGTCGTAATAAGATTCTCAACTTTACAATTCTAATGTTCAGCCATCTATTTCTCTATTTAGACTGTAGATTCTTACCGGAAAGAGAGTTTACATCAAAATAATTTATCATTAAGAGTTCAACTTTCTTTTCTTTAAATCAAACTGCTGAGTTTTCTTTTGAACATAATCATTTAAAGCAAGAATTAATTGAACTTTCTTCTCTTTCAAATTATTAAGAAAAAAAAGTACATTGTCTTCAAAGATCATATCGACAGCTTAAAGAAAAATGGTGTATATTTCAAGAAAAAAGATATTATTAAATTTTAAGAGTTAAGCGAATCAGTGAAGCAACTTCAGCATAATTATCAGCATGTTTCTAATTCAGTACATGCAAATAATTTAAAATAAATTTTTTTTCCTTTCTCTTCAATAAAATTTAAAATATGTTTGTTAAAAATTCATTATTTCATATGATATAAATATAAATATAAAATAAAAAATAAAATAAAAAATTTTTACATAATCAAACATTTTATTTTAAGTTAAATTTTATTAAAAATAATATATAATATATCTATCAAAGCAATTCACATTCTAAAATATATTTGTTATTACCTATGTTAAAAAATCCTATGTATCTATCAATTCCAATATCTTTGATAAATTGATTACTACTAAAATGTGTAAAATAAATTTGTCTATAATATGATAATTATTTTTTTTAAAATGATAAATAAATAAACTATTTTGTATTATAAACAGAGTTTTTTCCTTTTTTAGTAATAACAATAAATTACTATTGGAAATCTTAATGAATTTTTCTATAAAAAGTTAATATACAAATGTATTACAAAATAATTGATATTAAAAAATGAGTATTATTTTTAAACAAATCAACAAACAATTTATAACGTATGATTTAATTATTATTTATTTTTTATTTTTAAAGTTTGTACTTGTTTGCTATTATTTTTTTAAAAAAAACACATCCAGGCTGTATGACGAGAACGTCAGTACCAATTTACAGTTCAAAAAAATGTGTCTCTAGCTGATATTTGATACGAACTGAACCTCACTACTCAAATTTAAAGAAAAATATATATAAAATAAAATAATAAAAATAATAAAACTAAAAATAAAAAAATATAATACTAAAACTAAAAATAAAAATTATATATAAATAAAAATAATAAAAATAATAAAGCTAAAAATAAAAAAATAAAATACTAAAATGAAAATGAAAAATAAAATAATAAAAATTTAACTTCTCCTCTATCCCTTGAGATCGATCCCTTCTTCTATTCCTTCCTTGAGATCAATTTTTACTTCTTATCGATCTTGAGAATGCTTGCATTCTCTATCTTTGCTTCTTGATTAATTCTGAGAATGCTTGCGTTCTCTACTTCTGCTTCTTAATTAATACTGAGAATGCCTATATTCTCTAAATTTGAATTGACATCTATCGATTCATTGCCTCAAATATATGTGTCTTATTTCATCTAAAAGTAAAATAAAAATAAATATATATTTATTTATAACAAACAATAAATTTAAATTAGACTATTATTAATATCTTGAGGCAACTAAAATTCATCTCTCATCAAATGGTAAAATGCTACATCAAATCGATTTAGACTTCTTATTGGAAATCCTTCTGGATTTCCAATCCTTATCCTTCTAGAGTTCTCATAATTGTGAACCAGCATAGCCTACTTTACTTGACATTGTCTGCCAGTAACTTGAGTTGGATGATGATTATTTATTTCGATTGCTATCCAATTCTAGATAGCAGCATGCTCAGTATTCAGAGCATTTTCAAATTCTTCATGATATTCATTATGAAGATTTATTAAATATTCTGTTGCATCAAAAGTCTAAACCATTCCAGCCATATTTTGATATTATTAAATTTGTATTTGGAGAAGTTTAACAAAGAGAAAACAGAAAAGATAGTGAAATATTTTTTTGAACAAATTTATTGAACCATATCATGTATATTTATATATTCTCAAATAATACTTTTATTTCTAAGTTCTTTTTTTATGTTTCAAATCTTATTTAAGAAGATTATTAATTTTTTTTTTGATCACATTAATTAAATTATAATACATCAAGACATTTGAAATGATATATTTTCTGATTATTATTTTTTTTCGATCACATTAATTAAAATAATAAGTTAATATACTGTATAAATCAATTAAATGTATTAAGAAAAGACATTTGAAATGATATATATTTTCCATTTATACTTGTTCTTCAGACTATTTAATTTATAACCGATATAGAAATTTATTATTATTAATTAAATAATATATATCGTCATATTAAATACAATTAAAGTCCAATCTATATAAAATTACGCAGGAGTTTGTTCACTTAAATTCTTTTCACTACGCCTGGACTAATTAATTTATTACTGATCTAGAAATTTATTAATATTGATTAAATGATATATTATATCATTATATTGAACACGATTAAAGTCCAATCAATATATAATTATGCATAATGTTCAGGATATATGGGGCCTTTGCAATAGAAAGGGGGGAAACAGCCGAAAAAATCAAAAGTGAGTTAATGCTAAATTTGAACATATTTCAGCATAAAAATCATATTTGGCATATAAAGTAAATTAATTTTTCCTGGCTGTTTCCCCCCTTTCTATTGCAAAGTCCCCATATCAAGACCTATAAAGTGTATTATTCTATAACGCATGTGTATAAATGCAAGAGATTTACTTTTTTAATCTGCGTAATTAAACAACTCGATTTAATACTGATTAAAATTATAAATCATCATATAAACTAATTAAATGCAAGTAATCTTATCTAAATTTGTAAGTGCTTTACCTTTTTTATTCTGCATAATTAAACATTTTAACTTAATTAAGTATTAATTAAATAATTAATGTTATCAATCTATTTTTGTTTTAAATTTGCAAAAAAAAAAAATTTAATTGATTAAACAATATATATCTCACGATTAAAAATATAATTATGCAGGAGTGATTTTATAATATTAAAAATAAAGTATACAAGTTTATGTAATTTTATTTTCGAACAAAAAAAGGTTTATTAAAAAATCACTATGTTATCATATTATCCTTATACGATACATTATAAAGAATTTCATATTTTATCAGACTCTCCTTTCTGCTTGCTTCTCAAGTCATGAAATTTTTATGTTGTTTTTATTTTTAACGACTTTTATATTTTTTTTTTATTGCTATACTCAGTCTTAGTTAATTTATTATCATTATCATAAGTTGTATTTTTAACTAATAACTTTTATAATTTTTTTCTTACTGTAATCGATTTTGATTAATATTTTTGTCAAAGTTGTTTTTTTATTAACAACATAATAATTGTTTTATTTTTACTTATTCAGCTTTACTACAAGCCATAATTTATTTTTTCAGTTAATTTTTTTTTGTCAAGTTATTTTTGCTTATAACTTTCCTTCTTGTTGTTCAGTTTTGGTTAATTTTTTTGTTTAGTTATTTATTTTTTGTTAACAACTTTTATAATTATTCTTCTTGCTGCTCTTGGCCTACAAATTATTTTAAATATTAACTATAAATCACTTAAGTAAAGCATCACAAGCGGTACTTCTTATAATAAATAGAATATAACAAGTTTTTCAGGATAGTTATAAGAACCTCTAAAACATCAAATCAAACTTTTAATGTATGTTTTTTTTTAATAATTATTTCATTTTAAAATCTATTTATGGAAAATACATGGAACTTTGTATCCTATGTATTTTCAGTATAGAAAATAAAATGCTAAGTTTAAATTATTTATAGACAAGCATTATTATTCAAAAATATAATAGAATAAAAACTATTTTAATTTTTATTATATTTTTCGTTAAATAAACTAATAATAACCCTTTTTTTTAAAAATAAATTATATAGCTAACAATTTCTCAAGCATTAAGAGAAACCTTATTTATACAGGGTCAAATAAGATCTTTATTAGAATCGGACTTTGAACTTTATAAGAAGAAATCATCTTACTATTGTGAGAGGGATGAAACTGTACTTATTTCCAACTACCCAAATGAAATCAATAGGGTTATTGATTTGGAAACATTAAATAGTTTGAAGGATTTTAGCTCATGTGTTATAAATTTGAAAGATAAAATCAAAGATAAAAATTTGGAATTTTAAGAGAAGAAAGAAAAAAAATTTCAAGAAGAATTAAATCAATTAACAACACAAGTTGTAAATTATATTAAAGATATGATGTTGTCCATTTTTAAGATTAATATTGATCATCGAAAAATTCATTAGATTTGTATAAACTATATAAGTTAGTTTTACAATAATATTTTCAATATATATATTAAACCTGCAAGGTAGTAGAGGATATTACAAAAAAATTGTCAACATGCGAAAAAATTATTCTTTTTTTTTTAAAGAATAATAAAAGAAAATGTTGGAATTTATTTCCTTCCTTTAAGAAAAAGTTAAAGGAAATTTTGTTGAATGCGGCTGGTAAATTTGGATATTTAGAAAAAAAAATTTAAATGAAAGAGAGGCAAATTGAAAAAAAATTTGATATATATATAATAAGTTATACAAAGAGTTCAATATGTTCAAGCAGAACAATCCAAATTTTAATGAAAATTTGGATATTAAAGAATATCACTCAGTTGTAATAGAAAGAATAGAATCACGCGATAAAAATTTAAATAAAATTGATTCTATTTTTCGAATTATAATATATCAAGTTTAAAATAATTGAAGGTATATACTAAAACTTAATACAGTATTAAAATTTATTTGATAAAAATTAATTCTAATATATTAAATTTATTTTATATAGGAAATTATTATTGCATCAATAATTATAATAATACTTTAATTAGGTTGTTTGAAGTTCCAAAAGAGAGGATAAATTTGGTTAATAATTCAGATAATGCAGTTCAATCTTATTAGACTCATATCCATAATAATCAAATTCAATCTCCTTCAAAATTTAAAGAGTTTAATTATAAACCTTCAGGTATATTATCAAAAAAATATTAATATTATTAATTTTGTGATATATATTTAAGCATTTAATTAATTTACTACTTTATTATTTAATTAGTAACAGCATCATTAGCAGCAACACTAATATTGGCAGCAGTGTCATCATATTTATCATCATCATTAGCAGCAGCGCTAATACTAGTAGCACTATCATCATCATTAGCATCATCATCAGTAGCAGCAGCAGCGCCATCATTATCATTATCATCATCAGTAGTAACGTCATCATCAGAAATCACACAACTATTTACATAACATTTCGTCAATTACAGAAATAATAATAAGTTTGTGTATTAATCCTTAGATTATATCTGTAAAAATAAGAATGGCTATATTGAGGATCATTCAAGGTAAGTAATTAATTTTTATTATTGTTTATAATTATTTTAAATACTTTTGTTTTTAATATATATATTTCAATAATTGATAGTTGTGTCGACAAAATGCTATATGATATCAATGAATTAGCAAATTATATTTTAGATATAATAGCATTTTATTATCTATTCATGTATAATAATTTAAGTAATCTTTGTTTTTTAGATCAGGTAAATTATTTAAAAATATTATTTTTTATAAACTGTATCTTGTTAATGCTTATTTTTTATTATAATGTAGGTAAAAAAAATATTCAAGATATTTGAAATGTGTGCAATAAATTTTAATACCCTTTGTAGGTATCATATAGACCGCTGTAGTTGCCATAACCCTTGTTTTACAAATGTATAGCATTTTTGAGTTCGATAAGCTTCAACATAACTTGTATCTTCTTGATTGTTTCTGCCACTCGTTATCAAGAGGATTTGTTTTACAAATTAATTTTTAATTGCTGAGAATCATTTCCTTCACGTTATGCGATAATTTCTTCTAATAATTTCTTTTCAATGTTATTGTCGTCTAATCTTCAGTCAAATTATTCTTTAAGTTGTTTTATTCCTTCTTTTTATTCTTTCTATGACTAATTCTATCTTTCATATATCTTTATTTCTTCTGAGTATTTCTTCCGAATATTACTTCTGAATGTGTCTTCCAAATGTTTCTTCCGAATGTTACTTCCAAATGTCTTCTGAATATTACTTTTCCTTATTATTCTTTAATATTTTCCTCTAATACTTTTATTAATTTCTCTTCATATTTTTACATTTAAATATTCTTTAACATCTGTTATATTTTTATTGTTCCTTTTTAAGTTTTATTTCTGCATTACTTTATTAACATTTTTCTAAAATTTAAAGTTTATATGGAAGAAGAAGTGGAAGAAATAGAAGGAGTAGAAAAGGAAGAGCTTAAGGAAGAAGAAAAAGAGGAGAAAGGGGAGGGAGGAAGAGAACGATAAACGGTGGTATTGGGAAAGGTGGAAAGAGGAAGAGCAAAAGGATTAGGGGGAAAAATAGAAGAAGGAGAAGGAGGAAAATTGGGAAGGGTGGAAGAAATTGAGGAGGAGTGAGAAGGAGTAGTGGAAATGGGAGGGAGAAATTTAGAAGGTCCCGAAATAGGGGAAGAAATAGGAAAGGGCGTTTGAAGGTCCCGGAATAGGAGAAGAAGAGGGAGAAGGAGTAGGAGTAAACTTAGGAGGGGAAAGTGTTGAAAAAAGCCTAAAGAGGGACTATTTACGAAAGTAGAAGAAGGGAAGGGCCAAGGGAAGAACCTGAAAGCAAAGGGGAAGAAGAAATATGGAAGGAGAAAAATAAGAGGGCGAAGGAGAGGGATAAACTGAAGAATAAACTGAAGAAAGAGGGGAGAAGGAACAGCTGTAGAAGAAGAGGGAATAAAAAAAGGCACATTTGTTGAAGGGATAGAAGAAGGAACTAAAGGGGGGATAGAAGTTGAAACTAAACGTCGCCTTGGCGCGACAATCGCACGATTAACACCTTGAACGCGCACCTGTCGTGTTCGTTGAGTCATCGTTTAAAAGATCCCTTGAAATAATAAAATATTAAGTTGATTTTTGTTTTAACTCCTTTTTAAAATTTTTGTTATAAATAAAATACAAAAACGATATTCATCAAAAAAATAATGAATGATGAAAGGAAGTTTGCGAGATCCTTTATTTATTTTTCCAAGAAACAAAAGTTGGCCAATGAACAATCAGACGATCAAATTACGTCATTCGTAAATAAATGAGTCATATCCTAATTACTCCATTTAACTGGATATAATTTTAAAACGTGATTAAATTAAATAATTTATTTATATAATGTATTTATCATTTTTATGGTTTTAAAAAATTAAAAGGTTGATGTAAAAGAAAATCAGCATGTAAAATCATTAATTAATATGTAAAGAAGACATTTATATAATAATTTAATAAAAGATGATTGAATTCTATTCCCAACTAAATTTTCATTTATAATTATTTTGTTAAAATATTTGCGCTATAGCTTTATTTCTAAATTTGTTCAATTCATTCATTAATCGTTATTTTCGGTATTACGAATATCATCATCATCATCATTCGAATCTATCACTATCATCATCTAAGGGTTTTTCAAAACATTTCACAAATTCTTCATCAGATTTCTTCCCAATCAAATTCATTATTATCGCTTTCAATATTATTATCCTTTTTAAACCAATTTATTTCGTTTCTAATCAATTTATAATTTGCCTTGATCAAATTTCTAAATATGTACTCTTCATGTAACTTTTTCAAACAGCCAATAAAAGAATCTTCTAGATTTCTTCCATTCTAACGATTTTCTTATCGTTTCTTTGGATTTCATTCTTCCTGGTGTATCATGTACATCTGCAAATTGAATCCCCATTCGTGAATATATCGGTAATAATTCTTATTCCTTTGCATCCAACTGTATTTTAATTTCTCGTTTTTGCGATTCAGATATTGACGGATCATTTAACGATTTCTTAAGATTACGGTACATTTTCTATTGTTGCGAGCAATTGTGGCTTTCTGAATTTGATTTCTACAATTCCTTCTGGTTCAAGTACTCCAGCTCTTGATTTTTCATCGGCGTACATTTCCATCATATCATCGTTAATAGTAGGATCCATTACAACCCAATCACCACCATGAAGTTCTCCATTGGAACAATATAAACAAATACAGACTGCTTGTAGTTGGTAAGTGTATCCACGATATAAGATACATATTTTAGAATCTCTTGAAACATGTCCCTTTGACACCTGAAAATACACGCCAATTAGCTAAAATCATTAAGGGTAAATTGCCCGCAATTAACCAACTTGGATGTTAAGACCCTTTGGGAGGCATATAATTAACATCCCTGTCCCAAGTATCTGAATTCATAAATATTGGTAACGAAGAATTTCGAACTGCTGGACATAATAAAGCCATTGCATAATCTTTGTAATACCCTCCAAATCATTTTGTGCAGACAGATATGAAACTCCATTCTTAAACATAATTTACGTGCCTCCAAGTTTCCTGTATAAACTTCTCTTCCCAACACTTTATTCAATGCTGGTGCTCCGTTAATATTATGGGTTGACCCTCATTTTGAATAGTACGCTGTCCCAATCTTACTTAGTAAGCTATCATGCCTTAATAAAAATAAGAAGTTTAAAGAAAAAAATTTTTTTTTTTAAAAATTGACTTGCAATAAATACATACCAACTGAACGACAAGTAACTAACGTTATTGTGAAAATGTCTTCATATGCTCGCGATGCTATCCGAGCGATTAATCCTGAACCCTTTAAACATTAAACACCAAGCCCATCTTTTGATCCAATAATATTGGTGATTTTATGTCGTGTTTCTCCTTCCTCTCCGCGATAACGGATTTCCTTCCATTTTGATGTAATTGTTTATATGTCTCCAAATCAAGATAAAGATATTCGATATATTTGCTTGGATTTCCTTTATCAATCAATGCAACGTTAAAATGATTTATAACTTCTTCCGCCAACTAGGTATTCCAATGATCTTGCCAATTCGGTTGCTTTGTAGAAAAATTGATCTTCTAAAGGACCAAAAGAACCAATGTGATATGTGATATCATTTGCAATCACGATAATCTTTTTACTTTGGAATATTCGGGGGTAAAAAGAGTAAAGATATTTGCAACCATACCAAATGAATTCGTTCCAAAGCTCCAATACTTGTAAATTATTATTACAAGTTCTTTGGCTTCCAAAACATTACTAGAATATTTAAGGTTTGAACTTGATGAGATGCACGATTCCATAGTATTCTAATAGCTTGGCGAAATAATTCGGGAAAATCTAGGTGGTACCCATCAAATGAGTCTTATAACGCCTTGGTTGAAGCCATTCTTTTGTTGGTTAAGGTGTGTGGGTTGGTTGCAAATGCATTGAACCCTGTCGACCAATTGATTTAAGAATCCAGCTTTCAAGTTCTGTACCTCCTGATAAGTTTCTACTTTAACAACATACCCGGAGACATTATTAATGATGACACGTAAAGGATAACTTGTTCCTAATGTAGGGTCTTCAGCTTTGAAACGAACTTCGGCTCCGGTCAGACGCAATCTCCATAATCTTTTGCCGTGCCTATCTATAAATCCTTTAACAGCTTCCTCAACTTGTTTTGGTTCTAACACAGATGTTGTAATAAATTTATAAATTAATGATTGCAGTCAGAATTTTATGTTTTGAACTAACGATCTCAAGAGAATCCAAAATCTCATTCAATAATCTGTCGGACTCCGAGATTAGATAATCCGCCGTACGCACGCTATTTCGCAACCGACCAGGACGACTAAGGATCGAATGAAGAACTACAATCCGAAGCATTTTCTTTATCAACGGCATAATAAACGTGAATCTGTCGATTGTCAGTGAAGCAAGGAGTAAATTCGAAATTGGATAACCTCGTAAGCTCAAGCTGATAGGCCATGGCTGGTTCGATATGACGAATTGTTTGATCCTCAGTATATCTGTTGTTTCACGGAACATGAAATACCCCAGATGTTAACCTTTACGAAATAGGACAATAGTAATTCTTCGTATTCCATGTTCCCGTAATTCATAAGAATGTTGGGTTTGAGTTGTTTTTCAAAGCTTCATCCTCTATAACATCATCTTCCAGCCTTAAAGCGAAGTTCAAAACATTATTTATATTGCTTCTATCTGATGGATCCTGAGATTTCCATCCTTGGGCAGTTTGTATTTTTGGAAAAAGTTTTAAATTCGTGGTATATTTCTTTCTATTTCTTCATTGAAACCATGACGCCCGATACGAAGTGGCTCATTCTCGGTTTTCGGAATCAAATAACTTAATCAAATATTGAAGCTGAACGTCTCATACTAAAAAACGAGGGGCTTCGACCGAACCAGTTGGACTATCAGTCCTAGCACTATGAAGTGAGAAGTTCAAAGAGACCATAAATGGGGCTTGGTATTAAATGTTTATAAGTTGATAGGCACGATAAGCGCGTCGGGCGTAAACTTCTAATGCGGCAAGCCCAACCCAATTATCTTGTTGATAAAAGATATTTGGAAGAACATCGAAAACATCAAATCCAGTATCAATTAATTCTTTGAGAGAATCATATCTTGTGGTTCGGTAATTATAATCATCATCTCCATAATGACTCTCTATATCTGCAGCCTTCAATACTTTCTTCATAAGAAGGTAAATGACGTCTTCAATGCAACTTTGGTTGCGAAACGTCCTCCAAGTTCCGCCAATTTATCCAAAATCGATGAATAGGTTTATCAAGGGCTTGTCCAACATTTGCGGGCCTAATCTGATCTAAAAGATGTAATATCAGATTATTCTTTGACTCAACTTTGGAATGTGGCAAAACAATAGAGACGATTATTCTTGTATTCGTCCCGTAAAGCATAGACAGCTTCTTCTACACGCTTGTTAGAATTCGAGAATAAAACATCATCATGATACTTTCTTAACAAATAAGGAATAGATAATCTTTTAAGAGTCACCTTTTTTTACATGATCGCCAGACTCCACCAAAAATCTCACAAGCTTTCCAGGAGAGAGTGAACGAAGTTGTGTTGGATCATTTTCTTGTTCAAATAAAAAAGTTTAACTATTAATCATCAATTTTATTCCTTGAACTTCACGAAAATAACAAGTATGGCTTTTTACGACTAACAAAACTAATAACACACCATCGGTAAGAGCACGAACAGAAACTTGAACTCTTGATCCATTCAAGTAAAGCGTGAAAGAATCTAGAGTTGATCTAGTAGCGGTAAATTTATAATGGACGCCTTCATAAATGAAATCGATGATGAAGACATATTTCTGCTAGGGATTTGTCCTTTCTCCAAGAAACGTTTATATTCCATTTTAGATTCCATGGCTGATGTATCACTGCACCGTATATCACAGCCAACATTTTATCAGGCTTTTCGGCCGTTAGATTTTCATCAGATATTAACGTGTCCAATCATCGCGTTGTCAAACTATTTTCTTCGAAGCTTGGGTTTCAGGCAATTTGACTAAATATTCCACTGTGTTTCTAAAGTTCCTACGAGTCGACAATTCCGTAAGCGCGACTATCATATTCTTTCGAGATTTTTTGACGATTCTCACCATAAGCGAAAATATGACCAAATTGAAATCAGCAAACTCATGAAGGCCACCGGCATAATTAACCGAGAATCGGCCCCGAACATTCGTGCTGCGAAAACTAAGTTCATGCACTATATCACTACTTGGTTTAAATTCTGTCGTCAGGATTTTACGCCGTTATACGAAATTTAAAAGCTGCCCAAAAACTCCAACATATCACACAAAAATGCAGTAAACCCCAAACGATTGGTCCATTTACTTAGGGAAAATGACATCCACTCTAATATCACGAATTTGATGAAATGGAATTCCTGTAGCGATTTGTAGTTGAGCAGGTATATTTCCACCTGAAACCATTTCTGTCGTAGGATGCTCAACCTGTAATCTTGGATTTAATTCAAGAAAGCAAAAAAAATCTATCTCGTGACTGTAAAGATATTCAACGGTTCCCGCACTAACACGACCAACTAATTTAGTTAATCTGACAGCAACTCTTTCCATCAATTCAAAGGTCTCTTGTTTTTTAATCGTAACGTGAGCCTCTTCAATGATCTTTTGATGACGTCTTTGAACCGAACAATCTCTTCCAAATAATGAGATCACATTTCCGTATTGATCCGCTAAAGCTTGAACTTCGAGATGACGAGCATCTCGAGCAAGTCGCATGATGAAAATCGGTGAACCAGGAACTCTTGAGCAAATGCTTGCTTAAAATTATCTGGATTTTCCACTTTTCTAATTCCTTTTCCTCCTCCACCCTCTGAAGCTTTGATCATAATAGGAAATCCAATGATATTTGCTTTTATTTTTCCCATCATCAACGTCCTTGACGCACGTCGTAAACGTTCGGAAACAATAACATGACCTAGTTCATCAAATTCAGTTTGGATGACATTCCAAACCATCTTGCAGATTGAGCAACGATCGTAGATGATATTTTATCAACATCACTGAACCGGGAGGACCAATGAAAACTATCTTATGTTTTCTCTGCGCTAATGATTCGGGTAATATAGGGTTCTCGGATGCATGTCCCCTATATATGAGAAAGATCAAATCATATTTCATTAATTTAAAAGAAATTAATATATATGCACGGTATTATTAATAATTAATTTTTTTTTTTAGAGAATGCTTTCCAGCCAGCCCCAAACAGCATGTACACAAGTACGTTCGGCGATATCAACAATTAATGCATAATTATTATTAGAACCACCATGTACTTCGATAATAATCTTTAAATCTTCGGGAATAGCCATCAAGTAAACTGTATGGACCTTTCATTACCAAATGTTTCATAAGCCATTTTCTAATAGATCTAATTTCTTTAACAGCCGCTATACCATTATTCTATTAAAAGTTTTGTGATTACATTGTGACCATTCATTATGTTTTTCTACAAATTCTCTTACGAGACCTCTTGGAGCATTTGTTAAATCATTCCTGAAAATATCATGGAAACAAAAAAATAAAAATAAAAATAAAAAAAATGGTAGATGAGTGACATAATGTTAATCAATTTACCACTGTTTATTCATTTCATTCATAAACAGAAAAATGAACTGCCTAATAATTAAAACCTACTACTTTTATCTGAAATTTTTTTTTTCCCGAAAATATTCCTAATATAAATCTGGTCGAAACTAGGGATCGACGATTTTTCCAAAAAAATTCTTGCGACTTTTATTTCTTTTTATCCCATGTCAGTTTTAATTTTTTTTTTTTGGTTTCATTTTTGGTTTAGGACTGTGTTTCGGATCGCCGCGATTAAATATATTCTTTTTTTATTTTTGAATGGCTCTTTTCCTTTCTTTATGTTTCTCTTTCTTACTTGTCTTAGGTAATTCGGTTTTTTTTTAAAATTTTTTTTTTTTTTTAAACAATCAATAAATTATTATCAATTTACATGATTGATTATTAATTATTCTAATTTTTATATTTTTAGTTTCTTTTCGATTCGTGACGGAGGGTTTT